GGTTTGCTCTTAGGTAGGCTTCCTGATGGAAACGTCGGACTCCTTCTGAGCTTGGGAGACCCTGCTGTGGGACGAATCCCCTCACTGTACATAGCAGTCTAACACCCAGGAACACCTCCCAGCCACGATGAGACGGTGAACCATGGGGAGGGTGGCCAGTAAAACTATGCAAAATGCAAAAATAACGTACATGCTTGAAAAAAAGACTTGCACAGTTTAGGCATTCTCTGAAATTCACTGCAAATCTGAGAAAACCATCTCAGAATTGATTTGCGAGAGATAAAACGCTGCTTATGTTTTAAAGATCCTGTACCCTCGTTTTCCATCTTCTCTCTACTGTTTAGATAATTTCTTCCTACGTTTACGATGCTGTTCATTTTATAATAAAAGGTGACGATAAAAGAAAATGCTAGTAAAATAGTGCTACGGCAAACTCCTTTTAGATTAAGGTCATAACTCTAATCTCTCCAACTCATACATTTTGCTAGAGATGACTGCTCAGAGCATCGCTGATCGACATTCGAAATTTTGATGTCTTTGTAACACATGAATATATAAATATATATGTATATACAAAAATATGTATATCCCAATGGTTTATCGTAACTGGGAGGTGTTCCTGGGAATCGGGCTGCGATATAAAATGGAGGGATTCGTCTCCCTGGCAAGGTCTTCCAAGCTGACATGGAGTCCGGCGTTACCATCAGGAACTCTACCTAAGAGTAAACCAATATCAGGATCCAGCACCGTTCTGGTTTCAAACTAGTCGCATTGTGGCATATCTCTCTCTGAACCACAAGGACCGCGACTACCTGTGGTGGTGATGACCTAGGTCAGACTTTGGCTAGGCCGACCCCGGTACTGCAAGGAACCAGAGTGGCTAAACCAGCAAAACTCCGAAAAAAATGAAATTATTCTGGGACCCGCACAGTCAACGAGGACGGGCCATCTAAGTATCAATTAAGTTGGTATGTGAAAAGTAAGATTTATGAAAAAAGTGAATAAATATGGTACCTAAGTCCGGGGAGATCATTAACAACTAAACCGTTGCCATTGTATTTGAAGTGTTCGTTGTTTACAGAGATTCTGAATTTTGGCATACCGAAAAAAATAAGCTAGACGTAGACGTTCTTGGCAACAACTGGGGGGATCCTAATAGCTCTTATTTCGATTAGCAAAGTCACATTTGAGCTGAATGACGACTTTTCAAAACATTCGATCAAAGAAGGTCATCATTTTTGTACCAACTTGGTAATAGTCCGCTGTGAAAAACTCAAAGCACTTAACCTGAACACAGATTTCTGTTAACTTGTCCATTAAAAACATTTTTCTCCTTCTGCATTATTCAATTTATATCATAAATTTCATCCTTCCTTCTGTTTCATGTTTTTTCCGTGAATCTCACAGAGCAGCAAAGCCAAGACATCAGAAAGAAAAAATCTCCGCGCGGATTTTCTGTTACACTTGCACTTCTTCTGAGCTCTGTTTCATCCGTGTTCAACAATAGGAACATCTATACCAACCCTGCGTCAGCTAAAGAAGGGCAGTTTGTAAGAACATATCTACATGTTCAACAGTGTTTTGCTATTAATATTTAAGCAAGCGGAATTGTAAGGAAGAACGAGCAAATCAGGTCAGGATTTTTTTTGCGAGTAGAACGGTGACATATCGTCCAGCCGCTCTTTTTTATACTTACGAGACCATGTAATTGTATCGGAATCATACCATGCGAGAATAATGGCTGCTTCAGCTTTCAATTAGCACGCCTCGGCTTGCAGTGGATTTCGTTGGCTTCAATAAAGACTAGTAGGATCTATACATCTTTACCTCTTGTACAAGAGCTCTTGAGTTCTACCATGATCAAATTTGCAATTCTCTGAGCTCAAGACACATATCTCTTCCAGCTTAGTGCTTAACACCATATATTTCGAAAATGGAAGCACATGAAGAAGCAGGATTTCGTCTACCTTGGGACGAGATGGTGTTCCTAATTTATTGTTTATGTTTGCAGCTGCGCTCTTTCAGTAGAACTTTTAAAAACCCATGTGTCGTTACTAATCTTTTTGAAAGTTTTAGTTCCAAAAGTATTTGAATTTGAAAGAACACGGTGCAAAAATGATTTAAGCAATTTATTTGATAAAGCGAAGCCTCTTCTATAAAACTGAAATGTCCTAGTTATCGAGAAATTATGATCAGTCATCGGAAACCAGCTTCATAACGGAAAGGTTAACGAGTTCATACTGAAAAGAGCTTGTTGCTTTTGTCTGCAAAGAAAAAATTCAAGAAACTCTGAAAGCTGAAATACAGAGGGAACACCATATTATCCTTGCATCTAGCAATCACTAGGTAGAAATAAGATGATATTTTTCGCTTTCTGACAAAGGTTGTAGAGAATACGAAGACCACAAAAAATGTCGAGCAACTAAACATAATTTTTAGCTAATTACCGTCGGTTTGCGAAGAAAAAACAGTCTTAGGAACGTTGAATGAGGTAAAAAAAACGACTGCGTATAGGCATTTACCGTAACTCTGCGATGATACTGGGTATTCAATCACTGGCAGGATATTTAGGAAAAAATGGCAGATGGAAGTGGCGCCGAGATGTTCTCAAGTTCCTTGAAAAAAAGTCCGACCACAGCCATTGCATGCATTTTCAATCAGCTCTGGATGTCTCCGTGAATTCTCAATTTTCATACGAGAAGGATAAGAACTACAATGAGCTTCATTCGTGTGCCGCGAGAAGAGCTCGGCTCATCCATTGTTCGTTCCAAAATTCAAATACCCAATAAGATATGAGGTCTCCCGGAATCTAGGACCGTTAGGCAGCAACTGCACTTCCTTTAAGTTTACCAAATCGCTCCTAATTTGATTGCTCATCAATAGAAGACAGTAGATGTTGCGAAAACTAAGAAGTAAAAATATTAGTTAACTACTACTTTGCACGGAAAGAAACTGTAGTTTATGAAAAGGATTAATGGTTTTGTGTTATACTTAAGGGAAATGTTATAACAGCGACCGTAATAATAAACAGTAAGAGTCACTTGTGAACAACAAAGAGTCCTACTCGTTAGACGTACTCAGAAAATCGTTGGATAGATGGACTTTTTGTATGAAACTCTTCACGAAGGCCGTAATTTGACCAAGTACTGCGGGATTTTACGCGAAAGATCCAATCGAGGTATAAAAAAGTTCAAAAAACCGCCTATGCAATGAATACGGACGACCAGTTATGTGCTCGTGTGTAGATAGAAAATTCTTGCGTGTTATTTGAAAAAGTAACTGGGAATAGATTTTTGTTTCGACATATGTTGAGATGACGTGGTCGAAATGATCTTAAAGTTGTGGTAATAAAGCCAGACTCTTGGATACTCGGACGGCCCGTCCTCACTGGTTGTGCGGGCCTCAGCATAATCTCTACCTTTTTCGGAGTTTTGCTGGTTTAATCATTGCGGTTCTCTGGAGTTCCCAGTTCAATTAGATAAAAATCTGACCCAAAAACCAGACTTGCTTTGCAAAAAACAAAATATCTGGCCACAAACATTCAAAGAGGATCATAAACCAATCTGATGTTGAACGTTAAAGCACTACTCTGCTTTTCGTGCGAAGTGGAAAAGCGATAATTGGATTTCCTGCACGACATTAGCGAAGATGGCAATGAATCGGCTCAGTTGTGCTCAACACATTTTCGACAACAAACATTTTCGAAACTTTTCAGGCAAAACTTTCTGAAAAGGATTTTTCTAGGAAAAAAATAAAAAGCAAGAAGTAAAAAAGGATTTTTCGTATTCGAAAACGTCAATACCGACGAGTAAAAGAAAAACTTCGGATTTAGTGCAACGAAAGTGCAAGGTAGGAAAATGAAATAATAGAGCCACCAAAATGGCCTATATTTTCTCCCACATGGGCGCGTGCATGTGAGCCACATATGTCCGTACCTCATTTAAATATATTCTAAGAACTAGAAACATTGTTGAAGAAGCACAAATCAGTTTCAGATGCGATAAGTATGCGGCACCACTGTGCTGATAGTGATCGATAGAAGAAAATGTATGCAGGAAGGGATTGAACGCTGGTGCTCCACGAAAGTTATGGAACAACCAGACAGCCGCCCAAAGCACACAGATATTTTCAAAAATGGAAACGGCAAAACACCACGAAAAATAGGTCAAAGTTAAGCAAAGCATTGTTTTCAATGTGAACGGTGTGTCCCTCCGTCGTTTGGGGATTTTGACGACAAAAGCTCTCATACTTTTAGTAAATATTTCGTGAATATTCACTCTGCTATGTTCAGACTACGAGAAACTGTAGATGATATGACCACAATACTGCTGAGATATTTGCAAAACTCCGGATCGCAAGCGCCTGCGGCGGGGAACAAACGCGCTATTGTCCTTTTCGGGGAGTAACGCGTTCACCACCACACCATACGGGTCCTTCGTTTCGCCTGTCTCTCAGCTAGTTCTATCGATCTCTGTCATCAGCAATCACCCGTTAACGGGATTGATCTGAGAAACCCACATCGACATTGAACCCAGTTAAGCTAAGGCCGTAGTTGAATTCACAATGTTTACTTTTTATTTTCTACCTTCTATAATTTTTATGGCATGGTGTGGTGGTGAACGCATTACTCCCCGGAAAGTACAAAAGCACGTTCGCTCCCCACCGCAGACACCTGCGGTCCGGAGTTTTGCAAATATCTCAGCAGTATTGTGGTTGTATTTCGCTTAATACCCTGCCATAAAAATTATAGAAGGCAGAAAATAGAAATTGAACATTGTAGATGATATGGTTCAAATTTAGTGAAGAAAAGCTTTGAACCAGGTACAACTGTAGATAAAATGATAAAGGTCACTGAAGAAGTATGAAAAATTCAGATAGATAAGAGAAGAATAGTTGACACGAGCGCAAAGCGCAAAGAAGTGGTTGATCGGACACCTTACATGTTAATGGGTGTATAAGTCATAATTAAAAGCGATCTATTCAAAAAAGAGAGAACAGGGTTAAAACAGTTCCAGGAGTTCAGAATGAAAGCTTAAAAAAGCTACATAACCATAACAAAAAAAGTCTTCACCAGTAATATGGTTTGCTCTGCTTATATGGTTTTAGTGCCATAAAAAGAATGTCGGAATGGAAAGTAGAAATCAGAAAAACGATTAGAAACTAACCAATATCGATACTTGCTGCCAATCGATAATAGCCCACGGGGCGGAGCAAGAGGTGGAGCGATAAGGCGAAAGAACGTGTGGTGCTCAATGCAAGCCTTCCAGAGCTGCTTACAAGCCGATGCTGAATTCACGTGAAACGAGACCACGGTATCCGAGGTCTAAAGAGAGTCGATACGATGACAGCATACATTAGAAAAACGATAAAAGACGTTTTTTACGAGAGAAACTTTTCAAAAATGCAACGATTCGATGCTGTTTGGAAAGCATTGCGATCATTTTCTTTAAGAATATAAATGGAAAGTGCACAAGTGAGAAGAATTTCTCACGTTTTGATCTCCAAATTTAATCTGTACAAGGAAATCCTTCTTTCTAAAACTGATTTTCATAATCGTCGCCCATGCGAATTCATTAATCTTCTTGCCCTCATGGAAAATCACCATTCCGTACGAGTTCACACCGATTCCAATAGGAACGTTTTTGGCATCCTAAAAAAACTCCTATTAAGGTTTTTTCAAAAGCGCTTCGAAGCATATAGGCTTGAAAAAAATCTGTAATATAAGCAAATCCTCAGTGCGATAGAACTTTGCAATGTTACGTTACGCAATTACCTCTTCAGAGAAGGAAGAAAAGCCCCTAGGAAAAAACAAAACTATCGAATAAAATTTTACTTAGTACATTCTACCGACCTTGGCTGGATAGAGCTCTACGCCGTACATATCGAGCCGCTTGGCGTGATCAAGAAAGTTGTATTCAGCTTCTGCGGGACTTTGGCCTCTGAGATGTGGAATTTCACGGTCATGGAAAAACCTGGAACGTTCGGTGAAGGACCGGTAAGCACCTCACCTATGCAACGCGTGCAGTTCGGCTACCCTCTTCGGAAAATCAGTGGATTGAGAGGGAGCGAATCGAAAATGGTTGAGATAACCCTCTGGATGGTCATCTGGTGAGTAGTCACCCAGCTCAGCTGAAATTTTTGTTACTAATATGTCAGCGAAGAAAATCATTAAAAAAAACAATATAGCTTAGAAAATTTTCAAACGTTCGCAGTTATCAATTTATGCACACGCGTCCATGTTTTATATATGTGGCCCAAAATTATTCCCATTACTTTTCCACACGGTTTGTCCACTAACAACCAACATGCAGGAAGATCTTCGAAGTCACACGTGGATTCGGTTGTCCAACTGAGGACTTTGTTTTGCTTACGAAAATTCGTTGAATGCTGGTCGAGTCAGTTCTAATTGAAACGAAGAGGCAGCTTTACTAGAGTATTCCCAGAAAGTCGCTCGCATTCATGGATGGGGGCAAGCCGTTTGCAGAAAGATTCAATACCAATTTACGGACATCTGAGCATGCAGCTTAGAGGTAGTGGTGTTCTTGACTACTCAAGGATTGGTTCGACTACGCTCGGAATACATCAAGTCTTCTCAGCCCCACCAAAACTAAGAATCATTACCAGATTTATCGAGAACAATTGAATCCCTTCAGTCCACGTTGGATCGTGCTATAAGTGCTATCCTAGGATTCTAAGGAAGCTGGAATCGACCAGCATTCAACGACTTTGTAATGAAAACGAGAAATCTTAGAAGCACCCGAAGTCACAGACAAGGAAGTTTGAAGGCTTTCGTGAATGATTTGGAGCGAAAAGGAGAATCGAATACAAGAGCTTTTGGGATCCGCACAATGTGATACATGTGATGTGCAATTACATAATAGCAGAAAAAATTATTTATTTGCCGACGTTGGGGATGGATGGTTTGGTTGGCTTTGAGAGACGTCGAATCGTTGACCGTGCATACATTATTGCACATCTTCTATAACCACTGCGCTTCCCCGCCGCGCACGACGTATAAAACTACAAAAAACCAACTCCAAGTACCTAATAGTTTAGAGTATCTGCAATAAATTTACCATTTCCTGCAAACACGGCATATTACTATGACGATTCCATATGTTTCTTTTTTCTACTTTTATCTTTTCTTTTAAAGAACGTGATTTATGCACAAATTTTATGATTATTTTCTGAAAACTACTGAAACCGAAGACGCCCTCTTTAAATTTTATGATATTACTGTGTTTTAATAAACTTAACACTGGTGGAGAGGATGTAGCGCAGTGCTTAGAGGTGCTCTGCAATATTGATATTCATCTGTCGGGATTCCTCCATTCGTTAAGTCGTTCGAACAAAAGCCTGTCGTCAAATAGATGGCGCGTAAACAGAACGTGATTTAGGGTTTGCTTTCAAAAAAGGTAATTCTCTTCTTACAGAGGATAAGAAACCGGCTGAGTGAACTCGGTGAATTTTAAAAACTCTGAGAAAAGAACAGAGTTTCGTACGAAAAGTTTAATGCTCTTCGTATCTCTCAAGTGACTCGTGATCAATGAGCAACTCCGGTGAGGCGAAAAGCGCCGATGACGACTTTAGTAAAAAAAATTCTGATCTGTTCATAGGATTACAGGAGGTTTTCATAAAACTTCAGTGTGGCTTTGAAGATTTTACTGATGCCAAATTGAGTTTATTCAGGATTAACAGAGGTTATGTTGTAAATTACCTTTATCACAACTTGCTTCTTGGTCGTTATATTAAAAGAGACTTCAGCGTTGCTAACACTTATGGGTGAAAGATAGGAAATAGATGAATCACTTTAACTATTAGAAAACGTAGTAAGTACAGAAAGAAACCATAAAAAATAATATGCAAACTTAACAAAGAGACACTGTAAGAACAAAACGATACGGCTGAGAGTGAGGCGTAGTGTTAAATTTGAATGAATAAAATGAAAAATAGAAGAAAAAATAAAAAATCACCCACATTGAACTGCATAACTTGCCAGAAGTGCTAGTGAGCCCTCGGCACTCGGTAGACGACCTTCGAGCATATCAAGTCGTAATTGCAGAAAGAAGTGGTACCTGAACATGGCATTCAAACGACCGAAAACATAAAACACTGAGCGGTTCGTCTTCGTAGCAGGCAATTCTTTTTTTAATAAGGTAACGTAAAAAAGTACTTAAGAATAACCTAAGAAGAGGTTAGTAGAGACTAAAGTTAAGTGAGAAATCACTATCAAAAACCCGAAACTTGGGTGCTACAAACATCTTCATCAAAAATTTGTCAATGATCTTGCATTCCGAGATGTAATCAGTTCGCTTCTACTCTAGACAAGGGAGAAAAAAAAGAACCATATAGTATTCTGTAAATATTCAATCCTATGCGAGGCTTTCCAAATATGGTCACCAATTAGTCGATGGAGTAAAAGTGGAGTGGAACAAATGTTTTTCTTTCATTACAAATGGAACAAAGAAAATATGTCGTTAACTTAATGCATCTACATAAAATGACTAAGTTACGTGAAAAATCAGTGGAGCGCTAAATGAAAACGAAACAAAGGGTACCAAAAAGTCCATTAGATTTTCTAACCTTGTATACTCTTCGCAAAGTTTACTAGGGTCACTGACGTAGAACTTTACCCGGAAGGAGAGATGAAAGGGTGGACAGATCATCTGTTTCCGAATCGGCTTCTTAGGATCGAGCCACCGCTGAAAAAATGCTAAACTTCCTTGAAGACATCTGCATGTAGAGAAAGGAATCGATGCTTTGCCGAAGACTTAATGAGGCTGCCTAACTATGAAGTGGAGTACAATCTATTAAAAAAATTCAATCACATACTTTTTGAGTTTCTTTTGTGCCGAGAACATAAAGAAATTGCAACCCGAAGAAGTCCTTCTCGACCAGCTCCAAATGTGCAAACACCTTTTCGAGAAGCACGGAGCCAAAGGCGTGTCTCTGTAACCGGATAAAGATCTACGATCGGTGATTTGAAAGGATTTCACAGATTTGCTTCCTATGTAAGAGATTTGAGTTCTATAAGCAAATTATCACAATATGATCCATAAGCGGCTCACACGAGCTTGAAGACGTCTTAGTTGTTAAAATTTGAACAAACATATTTCTGCTCATAATAAAGTTTAAAAATTGAAAATAAAGCTATTAAAGGTTATGGAGGTGTCTGATTGCGTAAATTGCTGTCAACTTGACCTTTCCAGATTCTTCGGAAGGCAAAATCCGCCAAAACGTCAGCTTGTGTGTAAATAAAGAAAGCAAATAACACCTCGTGTTTGCTAAACAGAAATATTAAGCTGTTAGACCCGGATGGTGTAGTGGTGAAGTGCGCTGCTCCCCGGTAAGGACAACAGCGCGTGTTCGTTCTCCACTGCATACACCTGTGGTCCGGAGTTTTGCAAATATCTCAGCATTTCATACGAGTTATAAGCTGTTAAAATTCACACAACTTTCTCAGCGATGTACCGTCTAAACAAAGTGCATGCCAGACTTCTGGGCTACCAAAATCGCCTTTTGTTCTGTTTTTTTTTGTCAAGACGCATATCCCGAATAACATAAATTCCACTTAGCAAAACACAATGGGATCCAAAAACGCGTCACCGATATTGCTTGCTACTTGTTTAGTACAAAGTTTTAGATATGTTCCAAGTATCTAGGAATTTTAATTAACTGGAGATTTATTTAACCTGAAATGAATGATTAAGCAAACATATATAAAGTGCCCATATAGTGCAGTGGAGAGAAATGTCCTGTGATGCACATAATACATAGCCCAGTCTCGCAGTTGGTGATCAAGCTTTTGTCCCTTTCCTTCCAGCGTTGACACGTTGGTGCTCAATTCCTTCAGAAGAACAGAACGAAAACACCGGCTAGGTGTTTTGACTTATTGATAGGTCAAGATGTTCATCCGGTTACAGAGACACGCCTGCTACAAATCTTGGCCATGATGGAAATGCTACAAATCTATCTTGTAGCTAACGCTTCATGCCATCCCTAGAGCCAAGATGCTTTCTCGAGATAGCGATGAGGGTCATCGAGGTCGCATCGAGTCGAATCCAGGAGTGGCCATCGAATGGATGGGCTGTCTTCACACAACATAAAGTTTCGGTGAAACGGTAGTTCTTCACCCATTACCGTCCAAAATGATGTTTTCTTGATTATAGTTCACTCTTTAAAAGTCAAAATAAGAGTAACCAGCACATCATGACACCACACACACAAGCTTAAGCGGAGTTTTCTTACATGAGTTAAACAAATATTTAAGTGCTCAAGCTGGCTCCAGTTTCTTGGAAACCCGGAGCAACGTGATCAATTAGCTAAGATTACATAAATTCAATGATGCTGACATATTTGCAAAACTCCGGACCCCAGGTATCTGCGGTGGGGAACGAGCACGTTATTATCCTTTCCGAGAAGTAACGCGTTCACCACCACACCATGCAGGTTAATTAAAACGTTAATTTAATGAAACGGTCAAGATTGTGATGATAACTAAAGCTTCAGCTTAACTGGGTTCATTGCCGATTTGGGCCCCTAGATCAATCCCGTTGATGGGTGATTGCTGATGGCAAAAGATCGATATAACTAGTTGAGGGATAGGCGGAACGATCACACCAGCCATCAGTTCCTGTGATTGTTTCACAAAGGTTTAGTTTAAACAACTTTTCTTGTAGGGGCGCGTGTAGTGCAGTGGTCGGCGGCACCCTGCAGTACACATAAGATCGATCTCTGCGTCCAGGCTCACCTAGCCTTCCATCCTTCCGGGGTCTGCAAATTGGTACCAGATTTCCGGAGGAATAGCAACATTGGCTCGACACATCAGTAGGGCACTGCGAGTCGTTGTAAAGGCCAGATGTACATTCAGTCACCTCCAACGATGCTTAATGAAATCGAATGCATGGCGCATACCTCAGGGATTCATCAACGCCGAGAGCTTCATCCTTTTATCTTTTATCATTTCGTGTATAGTATTTAGTGTTTTAGTGACTAGTTTTCAGGAAGAATCGAGCGAACTCTAATAAATTTGGGTGTTATTTCACTGATTCAGCAAGGTTTCCTTTCTTTGAGTGTTAAGGTAGCAGTGTTTTTTTATCCCATGTCACTAGCACAAACACTTGCCAGCACTTGCACATAGCAGGAAGGTTTATCACCTTTTGCCTAAGCTTCTTTGAAAACGGAGCCAATTCCTGCCACGGAATTGGTATTGGCTTCGATTTTTATTGGAAATATCGAATTGATCAGATTAGTTGACTCTGCTAGTGGAGTAGGTATCCCGTTGTACATCATCTTTCTAGCAATACTTCGGGCAGCAACCCTCACCTCATAGACTACCATGAGGCGGTAAGCCATTGTGTAGGCTTTTACGGAATTTTAAACTACAACTTCGTTGTTTGCCTGCTTTTCCCTGAACAAATGGTCAAATGGTTTTTACTTGTTCTCTCAACCATACGATAAGAAGTGAGCCATGATTTATTCCTGTACGTTTCTGCTCAGTGCTTAGCGGTGAGTGTTAAGAAGATGAAGACACATACACCTTATCCTTTACCAATGATTGATGATATCGTCCCGGGTTCTTATACTCCTGGTTTCCCGGAAAATTGTCTCTTAATATAAGCTGGACTAAGCAAAAAGGCCCAATCTATAATTTAATTTCGTCGAGTGGATTCATTTCAAAGAAAACTATCACGAGAAGTCTTCAGAAATCCATTGTATTTGACCGTATTTTCTCATAATTTTCAGGATAACAGAGCATTAAAAAAGAGCAATTAATTTCGTTACTGACATCGATTTGAAACTGCCGTTCAGTAGAATCCAGAAACGAAACGGTACAGGTAATTTCGTTGCGAGACGCAGCCAACAGCGAGGGGTTTAGTCCTTCACTTCGACGAACGTCGTAGCTGCCCGAGCCAAAACGCATTCCTCAGGTCATGTCCGAAAAATCTGAACGAATTGAATGAATTTAAAGGTTTTAAACTTGTGGAAGAAATTTGGTATGTTAGAAGACATTTCTGAAGCAAGGATTTATCTATTTTTTTTTCTGTCGCGAGAATAATCAGTAAAAACGGATATAACCCCGAAGATTAGATTTTTATAAAGTGAGTGACAACAAGACCATTGAAGCTATGCAAAGCAAACGGAGGGAGGGGGACGTGTAGGGCAGAGGTCAGAGGTGCCCTGCCAAGCCATGAGCTCGATCCCGTGCTCCAGACCCACTTAGCCGTTCATCTCTGCAATGTTAGCAAATTGTTCCACCAGATCTGTCTGGGATAGTAGTACCACTGACTCCATACAACGTTAGGCTACCACAAGTCATTCCATAGGCCAGATATGCATTCAATCACTTCTGACAATGCTTGATGAAGTCGAATACATAACACATTCCTCTGGAATTGACCAGCTCCGACAGCTTTATTCTATTTATCCTTTATGTTGTATAAACGGTCCACATCGGATATTTGCTTTCCGAAAATCGAATTTGAATGAAAAAATACCAAAACGAAACCAATTTTAACCCTTTTATTTACTGCTTTTTTTTAAATGGAAGGGTATGTTGCGAAATATAACTCGTATGTAATGCTGAGATATTTGCAAACCTCCGGACCGCAGGTGTACGCGGTGGGGAACGAACACGCGCTGTTGTCCTTACCAGGGAGCAGCGCACTTCACCACCACACCATCCGGGTCCTTCGTTTTGCCTGTCTCTCAGCTAGTTCTATCGATCTTTTTGCCATCAGCAATCACCCGTCAACGGGATTGATCTGGGGAGCCCAAAAGAAAACTAATTTTGATTGTAAGAATGGCGATACGTGGGACATTATGAGACATATATAACTCATTCTACAAAAAAAAGGTCAAAGCAGTCGCCAGAAGTAGCTTATGCAGCAGCATGTGAGACACCCTTGGTGCGACCCACCCACGAGGGTTTTAAAAAGTTCGCCTTGGCGCTAATGTGGTAATCTAACGGTTTTAAAAAGAAAATTAGATGCGATTCTGTACACATAAGTGAAATTTTCGAAGGGATAAAGCTGTTCTCTTAGCCGGTGAAAACTTAATAGTGAAAGAAAGAGAGGGAAACGAATAGACAGATGAGAAAAAACTCATGGAAACAATGTATACCATTACCCAGAAAACAGGAAAAGAAACGAAATAAAACACTTGTGAGAAAAATCGAAACGTTAGATAGAACGCTTCACTGAACAGCAGGACTCTACTCCGTTGCAGATTTCGTCTGGATTCCAAGTTTCTAGGGAAGCCGAAAAATGGGAAGTAGAAGAGTAGTGGAAGAATCAAACACACTAGAAAGAAACATTAAACTGAATCGGTGCGAAAAGCAGTTAATAGGTCGTGTAGAGAGCGAATGGCGACACCAAAACGATCGAATGAAGTCGATAAAATCGATAAGAGAAGGCTAGGAAAACCGTAAAGTTCGAGTTGTATAAATAAAAACGAAGGAGGAAACTCTTGGTGTTGTTGAGTCTCTGAGGGATCCGCTAGATCTAGCAAATAATTACTGTTATCTTAACAAACAAGTGCGATATCAATTTGCCGAGTCCATAGTGATGAAGGGCTTGCTTTATCCAGGACAAGAATCGAACCCAAGATCACGTGTTGCTACAGGACACCTCTGGCTATTGCACAACGTGCGCGTTAGAGGTACGCTTGAAAAAAAGCCTTCTACGTGCAGGTTTTTTGGCGCAGATGTCAGTCCAATCGTTATTTTTTCTTCATGGTATCGCCTTCGAAATCGTCTCTTGATTGAATGTAGGAAAAAGAATACCACCAGATGAAATGATGGCTGCCTTCTGAATACGACTAAGAAAAAATTCGATTATTCTCAGACGAATATGAAAAGTGTTTTTTTTTAGGCCATATACCTACTGAGAAAAAAGATTTTAAAGGTTAATTGGGGATAAGAAAGCTACCGATCTTCTCCTTAAGGAAACATATGCTCGCACACAGATTTTCTAGCGTCTTTTATCACTAAAAATATAAATAAAATGCATAAAACATATTTTTGCAGACCTAGTAAAATTTTGTAGAGTAAATATAGAAAAGACAGAATGCAAGCAAAACTGCCAGCGAAGCAAAAATGTTCAAAGCACGGCAGTTCCACACAATGAATTCGTCCACAAAAGAAAGAGAAATGTTCAAAAAGTTGCAAGGTCATCCGAAGTGGGGAGAATCAGTGGCGTCACCTATGGTGTCAAAAATCCTCGAATGGCCGAAGCAAACACGAGTAGATTCTCTCCATCCGTTTCCGTTATGCAGAAAAGTTGTCGAATGGATCCTTTTTGGAAAACAAAGAGTATCGCATTTGCCATTTGAACCACGTTATTTTTAACGCAAATGGAAGATTTCCTGGCGCCCGCTCGAATCATTCGACGACCAACAGGACGACAGGTGAGGTGAGATGGTACTTTTAATGCTATGTTTTCGCAAAAAGGCAGCAATAAATAGTTTGCTCCTAGAAGTCTTTCGGATGGAAATGCTTAAATCCATTCTAGCTCAAGTCACTCTGCAAGAATCCCTGCTTACCAACACGGAGGAAAACTCCTTGATCCAAAAGATGGCGTAAACCACTGAGAGGAGAAGAGACAGAGAAGGCGAAAACGAGATAGGATTGAGGTCAAAAATCGAAGGGGAAGAAAAAAAGACGAAAATGCAGTGGTCTACGGGAAATAGCGGTTTTACTTGTTTTTCGCAAATAGAACAACTACGGTTATTCGGTTGCTTTGTTCCCATAAATGTTAATGACCGGAAGGAGATGACAAAGAAACAACGAATGAAAGCAAGAGGCTTAGCGATGACCAAAAACGCAGTCGAGTAACTCTTTTGGAAGCTTCGTTAAAAATTTCTAGAAGGTTCTCGTCTAATAAAAAGTTAATCACCATTAAAAGAAATTCTTACAAAAAATTAGACCTTCAGATTAACGTCTAACGACCTAGGAAAAAGTGAATTCACAAAAATAATCAACTTCTGAAGAACTAATGGTTTTCGCTTTCATTATAAAAGTGGAAACTGGAAAGAACAGATAAAACCTCAAAGACTAGCACTCGTTAATCAAACACTTGGTGTATTTCTTGGTAAAGGTGAAAGTTTTTAAAATGCTTTACACAAAATTGCTGATGAGCAATGCAGAGGGATGTCTTGATAGGATAGTGATGTTAGTATCGTTAAGTGTCCAGAAGAAAGTTGTTCACTTGGAGTGGAGACAAAAATAACTGCGGACCCGGTGACAATCTTTAGAGAGCGAACTGAATAAGGGAGATCTTCGTGACAAAATGGGTCTTTCAGACCCATCGCTTGTTTCAGTTTTGATAATCAACAGCTATAACCTTTTTAGGAATTCAAACAAAATGAGGAAAAAAACCCAACATTAAGCTAACCGACTAAGTGAAATATTCAGCAGAGAATGGATGTCGAGACATGTTTACTTAAACAGAAGCCGAAAAGTAAAAAAAGCGAGGTGTGCTGACGAAAAGTGAAGCAGCCAATTTGGAAAGCGATCTTCTCATTATTATTACTTCTTTAATGTTTCCGTGACAAAGCTGGTTCTTCAATTACTGTTGCTGATTTCTCCATCATCATAGACTTTCCTCTATTGCACTATTAACCTACATAATTATTTAGGAACGAAACATTCAAAGAATTGATAAAAAATTACAGTCGACTGTTTAAAATCTCCAAGAGAAGGTCGGCAGCTGAGAAAACAAACGATACATTGGAGAATAGCATCGTGTCAGGATGGACGAAGCTCCGCTTGTTCGTTTGGTTTCATGTTCGAAATGTGCGCCTTGAAGCAAAAAAGTGGAAGAAATATTTTGCGTCCAGTTCCAGAAAATCAGAATTTCATTGCCGTGGAACGAAAGAGCTTTTATCCTAATGGCAAACATTCTAGTAGTTTTCTTCCAATGAAATGTACCATGAGCGGAGAAATGTTGGTTGAAAGTTGAAAGTGACCATAAATGCTCAGATGTTTGGAAGACGTGCAATGAGTTTAATGGAGTGACTTTTCAGAAGCCGTGGGTGCTTCGACTACGCCTTCGTTCTCAATTAATGATGAGACGTGCTCTTAGTGACGAACAACGAAATCATTTCACATCACTCCGGGAATAATTCACACAGATGCAGGATGAGATGTTTTCGGAAGCTGATCAAGAATGAAGCAAAGGGGATTAGAATAGCTCAGATGACGAAAATGAGAGCAGGGAAAAAGTGGATCCAAAATAAGAGCCAAGGATGATTTACGAAATGAAACAATAATAGATCAAAGAATATATGAGTATAAACAATTGAAAACAAGAGTGAGAAAAATGATGATGGTTGCGGTGGTGATGAAGGCTTGAGGCGATGAGTGTTTGAAGATGACACTGGGAACAGGAAATGCAGTAGATGCTAAGAGTAGTAAAAAAAAAAGCAGGACTGCAAATTTTGATAAAAAAAAAAGAAACGAAAGAAAAAGGATAGTGTGAACGACGAAGAAGATGATGACACTGTGCTAATGATAGTGATTACGGCATGGCAAGGAAAAAAAGTAGAATGCAGTAGAGTAGTAATAATAATAAAAAAAAAGTGTTGACAGAAAACGGAATCGTGTGACACCGGGACGACATGAACGATAGACAGTCGAAAAACTAACGAGAAGAAACTATAGATGGAATATGAAACGTATGCGATTGCTGTCGTTTCAGAATACAGCGACCGACCAGTTTCAATGGAGAGGAGAATTTCGAAGGCGCTTAAATGCGCGCCTAGATTTTTGTAGCAAGTAGTACCGAACGAGGAGCCGAATTCCAATAGTAATGGGTCGCTAAAACCAGTCCAAATGATCACATTTGTAGTTGGAATGTGGTGTTGAAGAAGTTCAGAACTGATCAAAACTTCGCCAATAATTGCAGATATTCATAAGGAAAAAAC